ATAATTTTAAAATTTTAAAATTGTATTTTACAATTATGACAAAATGATCTTACAATTAATCATACAATACGATGCATAATATCATGCAATAAGTAATTAAAAAAAAATTAAATAAAAATATGATTTATTCTTAAAAATTTTCCAAAAGTTCTTCCAATTATTCAATTATACAAAATTCAGTTTTTTTTAAATAAATTGTAACTGTTACCGTTCATGGCTCTTTTTTATAAAACTTATTGAATTATTAAAAATTTTAAAAGTAATAGATTTTTAAAAAATTATAATAAAAAAAAATTCTTAAAATTGTAATCAATTCAAATAAAAAAAAAAAAAATTTTTTTTTTAAATTTAAATAATTTTAAAAAAAGAATTTTTACAATTATATTTAAAATTAAAAATTTACAAATCCATTGAATTTTTGAAAAAGAATTTCAGAAATTATTTTCAAAACATAATTAATCTATGTGGCATATATATTATAATAAATTTTATATGAATTAGAGAGACAGAATCTAAATGAATATAAATTTAACTGGTGCAAGGTCTATATAATATGCAAATATATATAAAGAAGAGTTACAATTGTTTGTGTGTATGTGTGTGTGTGTGTACCCCATTGAGAATCGTGACGAATGAATTATGAATGGCGGTCGATGTTTTAAGCCGACAAAGCTTCGAGCAAATGTCCTTTTCAAAGTAAAAAAAAAAAAATTATACATTACTCGTATAATAAAATATATAATTATCACAGTGTCGAAAAAGGTGTCGTGTATTAGATCACATCATTCATTTTGTCATCAAAATTTTCCCTTCGTCTGACTCACTACACGGAAAATTGCTGTTTTCTAGATTCAATCGTTGCACGCCAACATTACCTCTCACAATACCTTAAATGGCTTATGTGTCACATAAAACATTTTTCTTCCATAAAAAATTTATTTTTATATCATTTTTTTTTATTTCCATCACAAAAGGCATTAATGTTGATACCAGACTAATTTTTGAAATAACAAGAATAATAAATAATAAATGATAAATAATAAGTAATCATAAATAATAAATAATGAATAATAAATAATAAATGATAAATGATAAATAATAAATGATAAATAAAAAATAATAAACGATAAGAAATAATAACAAATAATAAATAATAGATAATAAATAATTTATAATTTATAATATTAAGCAATAATATAATTATTAAATGTAAAAGAAGTTAGTAATAATATAATTATATTTAATTACACTTTTTTTTCTTTCTTTATTTGTAACAATTTCTCTCTACTTTACACCCAGAAAAAAGGTATATTTGTAACTCAGAACCGACTGAACTTTTTATTTATTTTAAATAAATTTTATTTAGTTCAAATAAAGTTTATTTAGTTTAAATAAAGTTTAGTAGACTGTTTGGTTCAAATGAAACATTATTCTATAGCTGATAAAACCACAAATTATTATGAAAAATCGTCAACTAGTTCAAGTTGGTTAAAGTTTTTTCTAAATTCAACTCACATTTAACTATTTTATTTAGCAGTTAAAAACGTATTTTTACTTAAGTTTTAGTGAAAATTAAAAAATAATCAAAATTAGTAGAAATTTTTACTAATTTCAATTTTATTTTATTCAATTCTAAATCCATTCTTATTAGAATTGAATTAATTAATTAATTTAATTAATTATTCTTATTAGAATTCAATTATTTAAATACAAATATAAATTTATTGAATAATTGCGAATATTTTTTAAATTTGAATTCTTATAAAGAACTTTATCAATATTTTTTAAGATAATTGAATTTTTACGAAGAATTGCATTAAAATTTTTTATAACAATTAAATGCATTCAAGATAAATGTATAATTAAAAATGAAAAAATAATTTTTACACTCTAAGAAACAAATTATATCAAATTTTTATAAATAATTGAATTTTCTCGAATAATATTATTTAAATTTTTTAAAATAATTGCATTTTTAGGAAAATTAATTTTAAATTTTATTAAAAATAATTGAAATCCTGCGATGAGTTTTATTATTTATGAAAATAATTGAATTTTTGTCATCGAACTTTAATAAAGTTTTTTTTTAAATAATTGCATTCTTGAGAAAAATTGTTAAAAAACCTTTTTTAAAGAAATGATTTTTTTCGAAAAATTTTATGACAATTGTGTTTTAAATAGTTGAATTTCTTTGAAAATTGAATATTATTTATGAGAATTTTTAAAAAAAAAAAAATTTTTAAAATTTTTAAAAAAAAATTTTATTAAAATTCTGCTGAAAACAATTTAATTATTATATATAAAGAATATCATTAAAATTTTTTGAAATAATTTGAATTGTTTCAAAGAAATTTATTAAAATTTTTAAGAATAGCTGAATTTTTCTCGGAATTAATTTAAAATTGTATTTAGAAATAATTACAATTTTGCGATGAGTTTTAATATATTTATAAAAATAATTGAATTTTTACAAAGATTTTTATAAAATATCTTTATTTTATTACATCGAGAAAAAATAATAATTAGATATAAAGAAGAACTATGTTTAAACACTTGTCTGACTACAACTGACTTTTACTACTGAATATTTTTAATTTTAGAATTTACTACTACTGAAGATTTGAAACATTTTTAGTATTTTTAGTACATTTTTCAAGTTTAGAATAATTATAGAAATAGTTAGTAGAATTGTTTAAAAATGTCTGTCTGATTAAAACTGACTATTACTACTTAAGAATTAAAATGACCAAATTCGAGAAATTACTCATCAATTGAGATAAAATATCTTTATTTTATTACATCGATAAAAAATACCCAGGTGAGAACTGACGGTGGATTCAGGCTTTACGGAACCTTCGTTGAGGCTTGGTCAACATTGATCAAGCCTTGGTGGGACGGCGGAACGAAGGTTGTTTCTAGCTATAATGTAACACTTATTTAAGACTGACGCTCCAGTCCTTGTTGAAGATTGGCGTTCAATGTTCAATCAATGCTGCGGAACCCTAATGCAGGACTGAAACAAGGCTGCTTCCACTGTTCCCAAATTTACGCGTCTCTCGCGCCCATTCAATATAATACGAATATATGAATTGTATATAATATTAATAATAATAATAATAATAATAATTATTATTATTATAATAGTAATGAATATTATTGTTATTATTTTTATTCATATTATATGCGTTTGTTAATTTAATGGCATTAAGTTACTATTATAATAATTATATTATTTTCATATAAATAATATATTACTAACAGTAAATGTCATTTAAAATAGTAATATTAAAAAAATAATTTTAGTAAAAGAAAACAATTTTTCTGTTAATCGGTACATTTTTTTCTCGATTTTTCAGCAGACTTTTTAATATTATTTACAAACATATTCACATTTTTTATTCACAACACAACACACAAGTTTATTATTATATATAAACGCTTAAAACAAAGAATGAAAAATATTCGCTCGCATGTGGGATCGAAACTCACGTACCCCGCCCCTAACGCATACCGGAAGTTCTCAACGCACGCATTTAAACCGCTCGGCCACAGAAGGCTGGAAGGCACCTCGCCTAATCTACTATTTCAATGCCAGCGCCGTATATTCTGTATATACGGCGCGTCACTCAATATTTGTTGAGCATGGGACACCAATGTTCGTCCCATGCTCGATTCAAGACTCGGTCAATCTTGATACAGTATTCACTTTCTTTATTACCGTGTGCACTGAACAATATTAAATATAAATATTTATAAATTATTTAATATTAAAATATTTTTTATGATAATTTTATAAGTTAAATTATATATATTATTTTTTTTCTTGTACAGTGTCAAATTATTATTTTCAAAGATATTTATCTTTGAAAAATTATGACTGTTTATCTGAAAAATTATTAGTGAAAAAAATGTTCATTAGGTAGTGATAAATATTTATGCTTAGTAGTTTTTACACTAGGATTAACTGTTTAGTAAATATTATCAAAAAAATATTTTTTAGCAAACACGCGCAGCTAAACACAAATAACCTTGAAACTCCAGCATTACCAACTCAACTCTTGAGTTGGCAATGCTAAAGTCTCAAGGTTATTTGCATTTAGTCGCACGCGTTTGACAAAAAATAGTTTTTTGATAATATTTACTAAACAGTTGATCCTAGTGTACAACGCATAAATATTTATTACACACTAATGAACATTTTTTTACTGAAAATTTTTCAGACAAACGAAACTCTTGGACTTTGAAAACAATAATTTGACACTGAGCAAGAAAAAAAATAATATATAATTTAACTTTACTTATATGAATCTTATATAATTAATAATATCTAATAATAAATAATATAATAATAATAATTATTATTATTCTTATAATAATAATAATAATAATAATAATAATAATAATAATAATAATAATACCTAATAATAATAATAATAATAATAATTATTATTGTATTATATTATTATTATATTAATAATAATAATAATAATAATAATAATTATTATTATTATTATTAATAAATTAATAATTAATATAAATATTATACACTAAATAAATATTAATATTTATTTACCACTTGATATCTTAATAATAATAATAATTTTTAAATAGTATACAAAATTATCATAAAAAATATTTTAATATTAATTAATTTATAAATATTTATATTTAATATTTTTAAGTGCACACGTCAATAAATAAACTGTCAAGATTGATTCAGGCTTGAATTAAGATCAGATGTTCGAGCTTCACTCACGAAGATTGACCGAGTCTTGAATCGAGCATGGAACGAACATTGGTGTCCAATGCTGAATCAACATTGAGTGACAGTGGTATAAAGACTGCTTCAACACTGGGTTACCCAGGCTGGGCGTTCAAGGCTCAATAAATCTTCAATCCATCGTCAGCATTGGTCTTTCGCGCCTGGGTAATAATTAGATAATAATATATTTTCAAATGAGAGATTAATAATTTATTTGAATTTTTTTTCTGTTTTTCAGCGATGCGGAAAAATCGACTCACTTCGTCATGACGAGAAATTATTGAAGGTTGGGATTTGGGAAATGATATTATAATTAAGGAAACATAGTTGAAGAAAGAATAAAAAAAAGAGTGCGAATGATAGAAGAAGAAAGACCATATAATATAGAAGAGAAGTGTTGAAGAAAAGAAGAATAATAATAAACGATCGGTAAAATTGGTGATTCACGGGCAAGTTTCTTCGGAAAAAAGGTGAAGGGTAGAGGCTCATAAGGGCGAGTGGGGGGATGCAGCGCGAAGGGGTGGCGGCATGGAGGAGCCCTCGCTGGAGGCTCTCCTGCAGGCGGGCTTCATCTTCGTGGTCGGCGTCGCCATCATTCTTTCCAATCTTCTCATCATCGCAACCTACCTCAACTTCCGCGGTGAGCTTTTTTTCTGATTTCTAGTTTTCAGTCGAAAATTTTCTTTTCTTTCATTCTTTCTTTCTTTCTTAGAAACAAATTTTTGTACAAATTGCAATTTTTTACAACTTTTTGTAATTTTTTATCCTATTTTCTACAAATTGTAACTTTTTACAGCTTTTTGTAATTTTGTATCCTATTTTTTGTGATAACTAAAAACTTGATAGTTAGTAATTTTTTATCACATTTCTCGTGTTAATTCTTGATAACTAAAAACTTGGTAGTTAGTAATTTTTAAATTTATCGCTTTTATGGTTTATGAAGAAAAATTTTTCACAAACGACGTTGACCCAATTCTTTATAGGAGAGGGTTATTAAAATTCTTCTTCGCTTCACATCAAAGTTTTCTTTTCCATTTATTTTCGTCTTTTTCTTTTTCTCACGACGAAGAAATGCAACTTAATGGGGAAAAAAATGGGGAATAAAAGGGCGCAATAAAAACTTGAAAAGATTTTTTCCAGAGAAAGGATTTTGAGACGCTTCAGTGAAATTGAATAGATGTCTTAGGGATTTTTCGATTTTGTATTAAAAGTCTTTTTCTTTCTTTTTTAAGAGATAATTTTTGAGTTTCATTTTCTTCGGTTGAATTTTGATTTAATTAATTTAATAATTACTGTAGTAATTTTGTTGTCAACGATTTTAAATTTGCGATTCTTTTGCAGGTCCCTCCGAGGTGATAAATTGCTACTTACTCTCACTGGCAACTGCGGACTTATTTTGTGGACTGCTAGTTGTCCCCCTGTCCGTGTACCCTGCGCTGGTTCGAAAATGGGTCTACGGCGACATCGTCTGCCGATTGGTCGGCTATCTAGAGGTCACCATTTGGTCGGTGTCCGTTTACACGTTCATGTGGATCTCTGTCGATCGATATCTCGCCATCAGGTACATTTTTTCGTTATGATTAAAATTTAAAAGATTAATTTTCATTTTTTTTTTTCATTTGATTGCAAAATTGGGAAGAAATTTATAAAAAAAATTTGTCAATAATTGAATTTCTGTGGAATTTTTATTATTTTATCAAAAAAATTAAATGTTTTCTTATAATTATTATTAAAATTTTATTTAAATAATTGAACTCTTTTGGAAAATTTTATTAAAATAGTAGATACAATTAAAAATCATTGAATTAGGAAAAATTTTTGATAATAATTGAAATTTTGCCAAGAATTAAATATTTAAATAATTGAATTTTGGCGAGAAGAATTTTATTATTAATAAAGATAATTTCACATTTTGACGAGAGTTTATAGACATTCTCGAACTCAATTGAATTTGAGCAAAGAATTTTATTACTTCTAAAAATAATTGAATTTTGGAGAAGAATTTTAATTATTTATAAAAATAATTAGAATTTGGTCAAGAAATTTATTAAAATTTTTGAAAATAATTGAATTTCGGAAAAAAATGTATTATTTATAAAAATAATTGAAATTTTGGCAAGAATTTTATTAAAATTTTTGAAAAAAATTGAATTTCGTAGAAGAATTTTTTAGTCTTTGAAGAGAATTGATATTTTTACAAGAATTTTATAAAAATTTTTGAAAATAATTGAATTTCGGATAAAAATTTTATTATTTATTAAGATAATTGAAATTTTGACAAGAATTTTATTAAAATTTTTGAAAAAATTGAATTTCGTAGAAGAATTTTTTAGTCTTTGAAGAAAATTGATATTTTTACAAGAATTTTATAAAAATTTTTGAAAATAATTGAATTTCGGATAAAAATTTTATTATTTATTAAGATAATTGAAATTTTGACAAGAATTTTATTAAAATTTTTGAAAAAAATTGAATTTCGGAGAATTTTACTATTTATATGTAACTAATTTAAATTTTAAAGAGAATTTTCAAAAAGTTTTGAAAAAATTTAAAATTATGACAAGTTTTTTAAAACGTTTAAAAATAGTTCTACTGGAATACAATTATTTAAATACACAAATAAATTTATTGAATATTTCAATGTTTCTTGAAAATTTGTATTCTCATTAAGAATTTTATCAATAAATTTTTAAATAATTGAATACGTTTGACGAATTTTAATAAAATTTTTAATAACCTAATAATCCCTGTAATTGTTTTATTCTTATAATAAAAATAATTGAATTATATTGCAAAAAAATTCATAAGAAAAATTTGTAAATAATTGAATTTTTGTGAAATTTTTATTATTTTATGAAAATAATTAAATGTTTGCGTAGAATTTAATTATTTATAACGATAATAGAAATTTTGACGAGATTTTTTTTTAATTTTTGAACATAATTGAATTTCTACGAAGAATTTACAATTAGAATTAATTTTTTAATCAATTCCTGTAAAATTGTACTAAAAATAATTTAATTCCTGCGATGAATTTTATTATTTATAAAAATAATTTAATTATATTGCGAAGAAATTTATAAAAATTTTTGTAAATAATTGAATTTTTCTTTTTTGCGAAGAATTTAAAAAAATATTTTTTTAAATAATTGAATTCTTTTGAAAAATGTTAAAAATTAATAGTAAATATTGAAAATCATCAAATTGAGGGAAAATTTGGAAAACTAATTGAAACTTTTCCATTCAGAAATTTATTAAAATTTTTGAAAGCAATTGAATTTGGAGAAGAATTTTATTATTTCTAAAGATAATTTAAATTTTGACGAGAATTTAAAAAAATTTTTATATATAATTGAATTTCTAGGAAGAATTTTATTAACTTTTGAAAATAATTAAATTTCTGCAATCGTTAAAGTTTACTTGTAGGTACTCCTGAATAATGATCCTTAACGTTAAATATTGGTCGAACTAAGGTTTTTACTACTGAATTCAAGAAATTGAAAAAATCGGTGCCTTGTAGTGAACTTGAAGAGATTTTTACTACTGACGCAGATTATAAAGAAACTAGAAAGCTTGGTCTGACCAAAACTGCCTTTTACTACTGATAATAAAAATTGGACAAAATCGACGCTTTTTAGTGAACTTGAAGAGATTTTTAATCGTTGTCTGACGAAACTAAAGATATACTACTAACGCAGATCATATAAAGAAACTTGGTCTGACTAAAATTGTCTTGAACTACTTAAATATTTCAAAATTAATTGAATCACCTCCAATTTTCCTATAAATATAAATAAATATAAATAGATGAATTTGAAAATGAGGTTTAAATTAAAAAGTTTCTAAAGTTGTGAATAAAAATTGAATTTTTAATTGAACTTTTACAGGAAACCATTGCGGTACGAAACGGTACAAACAAAAACGCGATGCCAGTGCTGGATGGCATTCACGTGGATCAGCGTTGCAATGATGTGCTGCCCACCTCTGCTGGGCTTCAACAAGCCACTATTCGATGCGGATGCATTCATTTGCATGCTCGATTGGGGAAACATGGCCGCATACTCCATCACCCTGTCTATCCTTATACTAGGCCCCTCGGTCATCACCATCGTCTACACCTACTTCTACATTTTCTCAATGATGAGACGACTGAGATCAGGTGTACCGATACACGACAAAGAATACGCCACTGCTCTCTCGGAAAATCTCAGCAATCCCAGTCACATTATGTCCTTCGTCCTGGTGCTGACGTTCTGGATCGCCTGGGCGCCCTACGCCGGCCTCAGGATATACGCCGTTGTTAATGGACCCCCTCAAGTAAGTCTCATCCACTCATCCCTACACTCCATATTTATTATTCATTAACCATACGCTCAGAAAAAACAAATTATTTCATTCCAATAACCGATTAATTGACTCTATTATCAATTCAACATTTACTTTAAGCAAATAATATTTATTCCCCTCCTTTAGTATTATTGGTTCGAATACCGTTTAATTGACTCCAATAAATATTAATTTATTAGGGTCAATTAAATTGTATTCGAACCAATAATTTCAGTATTTGAAGCAAATACCATTTATTTGATTATTGAATTCTATAATAAATTGAATCCAATAAATATTATTTGATTCAATTATATATTAAATAGTAAATTAATAATAGTAGTTAATTGGTTATTTGAATCAAATAAATTTTTTTTCAGTGTAATAGACAGTTGGAATTTACTTTAAATTCGCTAATACTAGAAATCAAAAAACTACTCTCAAAAACTATAATAAAATTCTTTAAAACGATTCAAATATTTTCAATATCATTACTATTTTCATAAAATTTCGCAAAAGAATTTAATTATTAAAAAAAAATTGATAAAATTCATTCAACATTCAATTATTTTAACAAATAAAATTTATTTCCACAAGAATTCAAGTATATTTGAAATAATATTGTAAAAATTTCAATTATTTTCAAAAAATTAAGAAAAATTCTCTTCAAAAAATAAAATATTCTTCTCCGAAAATCAAATACAAATTATTTATTTTTGTATTAAAATAATTGAATTCTCGTAGAAATTTCTAATAAAAATTGATTTATTTAATTTAATAAATTCTTAAAAATTTAATTTCAATTCCTCGAAAAAATCAATTATTTAAAAAAATATTAAAATTTTTCATAGAATAGAAATTCAATTATTTTTAAAAAATTCTTCAAAAAAAATTAATTTTTTTAAATACAATTTTAATGAAATTTTTTTTAAATAATTCAATTATTTTTTTCTATTTTAATCACATTCTTCCTTAGAATTCAATTATTTACATAAATAATTCTTCCAAAGAATATCAATTGTTAAAGATAAATAACAAAAATTATAATCAAATTCTTTAAAACGATTCAATTATTTTCAAAAAATTATCCAAATGCAATTATTTTCAATATCTACTATTTTTATAAAATTTCGCAAAAGAGTTCAATTTCAATTAAAAGCACAAATAAAATTTTCCACAATAATTCAATTATTAAAATAAAATTTTTTACAGAAATTCAATTCTTTTTAAAATATTTTAATAAAATTTTACGCAATAAATCAATTATTTTCGTAAATAATAAAATTCCTCTCAGGAATTTAAATGTTTTGGAAAATTTTAATAAAATTGTTAGCAACCATTATTCAGTTATTTTCATTAATATTAAAATTTATTTTTATTTTATTTTTCTATTTAATTATTTTTAGTATAATTTTACAGGAATTGATTAAAAATTTTATTAATCTTAAAAATTTAATTTCATTTGCTCAAAAAAATCAATTATTTAAAGAAAAGTTTTTTTTTAATTCTTTAGTTAAGAATTCAATTATTTACAAAAATATCAGATATTTTCACAGAAATTCAATTATTATCAAATATTTTAATAAAATTCTTCCGAAGAATTCAATTATTTACAAAAATAATTCTTCGAAAGAATTCAATTATTAAAGATAAATAACATTTTGAGGCATTTTAATAAAATTGTTTGGAAAATTCAATTATTCTCATAAATAGCAATATTCATCACAAAAATTCAATTATTTTTAAAAGTCATAATTTTTTTTTTTGTAAATTCAATTATTTTAAATATTCTAATAAAATTGTTCGCAAGCATTCAATTATTTTCATAAATAATAAAATGCTTTTTAGGAATTGAATTATTTTCAAAAAAATTTAATATAATTCCGCACAGACATTTAATTATTGTCAAAAATTTGAATAGAATTCTTTGTGAAATTTAATTATTTTTAATAACTTAATTTCGCAATTCAATGATTTTCAATATTTACTATTTTCATAAAATTTCCAAACAGAATTCAATTATTTAAAAAATTGTTTGTAAAAATCTTCGTAAGAATTTAATTCTTTTCATGAATAATAAAAATTTCTCAGGAATTCAAATTATTTAAATTAGAATTTGCATAAAATTGGACGAAACATGAAATTAATTATTTAATTTTCATAAAACTCTTCGCTAGAATTAAAGTATTTTTATAAATATTGAAATTCTTTCGCATGAATAATAAAATTCGTTGCAGGAATTAAATTCAATTTATTAGCAGGATAAGAAAGAAGTAAATATTTTTGACGAAAAATTAGGAAAAATGAGGAAAATAAAATATAGATTGGAATTCTTGTCAGTTTTGTGAAGTTTATAAAACGAGATTTTTTGGTCGTCAAGTTTAATTTTTCAATAGCTACTTTTTTTACAATTTTTTTTTAATTTAGAAGCTTCTTTTTGCTACTTTTTAAAAATTAATTCTCGAGTACGAAACTAAACATATACCACTGACGCAGATTATAAAGAAACGAGAAAGATTTGTCTGACCAAAACTGTCTTTAACTACTTAAATATTTTAAAATTAATTGAATTTTGTGTGCAAAATCTGTTTTAGTTTATTAATATTTTGATAATCTTGGTCCCATATTAATTATAGTTTGGTCGTTGTCCGATCATACTTTTGGATTGAACGTCGTCTTAGCATATTAAATTAGTCATTAAATGTGTGCTTGAACAATTATTAAGTTATTAAATTATTTTTTCAATTATCAAGTTATTAAATTATTTTTTCAATTATTAAATTATTCTTTAAATTATTAAATTATTTTTTAAATTATTAAATTATTTTTTAAATAATTTGAACTTGCAGGTGCCGTTACTGCACTTTGCCGTGGTGTGGTTCGGAGTGACAAATAGCTTCTGGAAAGCAGTCGTTCTTGGAACCCTGAGTCCCCAATTTCGTCTCGCAGCACGCGTCCTTTGTTTGACACTATGCTGCCGACACAGAAGACTTCCTCCGGAACTTCTTGGTCTTGATGACGACGACTAAAGAAAGCAAAGAAAGAAAGAAAAATGCGCCTTAATTGCGCGCCGCATTCCTAGAGCATCGTCCTGTTGTTTTTCCATCAAAAAAACGAACAATTAAATCCCTCAAAAAAAATCGACGATAGTGAATTATTTTCTACGCAATTTACTCTATTTTCCCCTATTTGCATTAAATTTCATTTATTCTCCCAAAATAAATTACCATTTTTTGCCGAATTTCTTTCCAAATATAATTGTATAACGACTTCTTTATTTATATAAATGAAAATACTAAACTAAAAAAAATACGTAGTTAGAAAATTCGGGAATCGAAAAAAAAAAATTGTCGTCCGTGAATTAAAAAAAAAAAAAAAGAAACGAACGATCTTTATTCAAAATGATAATCAACTTTTAGACGCTGGACACACTAGCGTCCACTTTAACGTCTTAAAAAGAGTGTCTAAAAAAAATAATCTCGCTTCGCTCAATCTAGATTCTGTTAAAACTAGAAAATAATTCGTAATAATTTCGTAAAAATAAAACATAAATGAAAAAAAAAACTGCGTTTAAAGCGACGAAGAAATTAATATGTATAATAACCGTTGCCTACAATATCTACGTAAGATCAAGCTCAATAAATGTCATAGCTAATTACGCAGAGTTAAAAAATCTTAATAATTTAAAAAGGGCGCGAATGATGAAGATTGAATTTTTAATGAATGAATGATATATATAAGAGAGAAAGAGTTCAGTAAAAACAAAAATCGAGCCTAGTCAATTAAATAAAGATGTCTCTGCGAATGCGACGACGCAGCTCTGCTAGTGCGCATGTGCCGTAGATCACAAAACCAGGCGGGAAATTTAAATTTACATTTCGCTTTTGAATTCTATTTTTAAAAAAATCTCCAAATAACAATTTTACACAAGCAGCTTTTTTCTTTATAATAAACATCCGAAATGATAAATTCCGATTTCGATTTCGAATTTTGAATTTCGAATTTTGAATTTCGAATTTAAAAGGGAAAATTTATCAAATATTGGAGATTTTGATCTAAAAAAAATAGCGGATTTCAGAGAAAAGAGAAAGCAACTTCATCGTTCAAGTCCTTTAATTCTTTAATTGTTAATTAAGAAAATGAAAAAAAAATCTCGGTATATTAATATGAATGAATCGAAAAACGCACGACCACCCGCGACATAGGAAACAAAAAATAATAAATAAACGCACTATTAAATCTCTACGTGTCGTAAAAATAATTACTAATGACAGTTTTAACGCGTAGCGCAATCAGCAGCTGTCGAAAGACCCAGCTATTATATAACATCATAATTCTATATTTATAACTGAAACAAACAATAATATCCCAAAAATCAAATGTCACGGACTTGGCACCCTCCGGCACTGATTTTTTTTTTTTTTTTTCTAAACCTTATTAGCAATAATTTTCTTCTTGATTCATTTTTTTAATTTCGTACTTTTTGACAACTAAAAAAAATACTTTTATTCGCTAGATTCGAATTTAAAAGATTTTCATAAATTTTTATTTCTTTTTCTAAGGATATAAAATATAAAGCTGCATATTTAATAAATAAAAAATCTTTCGAGCTTCTTTGCAAGCTGTGCTTGCGAACTTTTTATCCGAAGAAAAGGATCTAATATTTAAAAAGAAAATCTAAGTTATGTGTAAATAAAAAAATAACAAAATTCGAAAATTAATAGACAAAAAAATATTTCTCTTTATGATGCATTCAAGAGGAGTTTTCGTAAAATTAATTAGAGTAGTCATTTAGTGATAGATGCAGCAGGACTGCCAATCTGTCGTCAAATTATTGCAATTTTTATCATATATATATAATAATATACATAAATATATATTATGCTCTCGTTATAGTGTTGACTTATTCGATATATTTCGGCGGGTCCCAAAAAGAAAACACGAAAAAAACAATTTTCGATCACATAATAACTACTTTTTTCAGCCACATTGAGTTAATTACCTAATTACAAAATACAAAACTTATTAATTTTAAAACTTTAATAATTTAATTTTTAGAAATAGATAAAAATTTTTTTTTTAATTATTTCTTACAATGTGCCACAATCAATGAATTTAAGAATCTTTGAAAAATGCAATAAATAATCTTGTCAAATTAATTTTACCTCGAAAAATTACTTTAACAAAATATTTATAATAAGAAACGTAAAATTATTTGAAAAATAAATAATCTTTTATAACAATACTTAGTTTGTATAGTGAGATTTTTTGTTTTTGTAGTGAACATTTGCAATTCATGTAAACTATGAAAAAAAAATACTATTTTTATAAGAGGAGAAAAATACATCATCACTGATATTTGCACTTATTGTATATGTAATTGAGAAAATACGTGACAAATAAATATAGAAATAACACAAAATTTTTGTGTAGAATAAAATGCCAAATGTTTAATTTTAAAATCTAGGAAAAAATTCAATACTAGCGAAAATAATGAAAATTTTGTATTTTTTCTCAAATTGTTATTAAATTGGAAAGAAAATGTTCAAGTATTATTGTTAGCATTTTATATAGTAGAAATGAAAAATTATTATTTAAAATCAGTCTGACTAAACAGTACTTTTACTACTGATGAGGAAAAATTAAAATTCTGCTAAAGTTCCGTCTGACTAAAATAGGTTGTTACTACTAGTAATTTTAATATTATTATAATATAATAATATAACATTACTATACTAGTAATTTTCACTAGTAAGGAAACTTACTTTCTTAACTAATATTTGTAATGGTAAATATTAGTTAGAAAATAAAAATTAAAAAAATATAAGTAAAAAACTTCTTTCTTTACTAGTATTTATTATTCCTTACTAGTGTTACTCGTATGTTACTAGTATGTTACTAGTAACATGGTAGTAATATACTAGTATGTTACTAGTAACATAGTAGTAATATACTAGTATGTTACTATTAACATAGTAGTAATATACTAGTAATATACTAGTAACATACTAGTAATAATAGTAACATACTAATAATACTAGTAACGTACTTGTAATACTAGTAGGAAAGAATAAATACTAGTAAGGGAAGAAGGAAAAAATAACTACTAACTGTATTATTTCAAAAGTTAAGAAAGTTGTCTGACTACATCTTACTCTTACTACTGAGTTTTTAGGAATAAAATCGAATTGTCTGACTAAAGACTTACTTTAACTACTTAAAAACAAAAACAAAATTTTACGCATTAATTCAAAGATGAAAATTGTTCTAAATCGTTGTCTGACTAAAATTTTCTTTTACTACTGGTTATAAAAGGGAATTATAATCCTTGTCTGACTAAATTTTACACGTTCTACTGAAATAAATTATGAAAAACCGTAATACTTGGTCTGACTAAAATTTACCTTTACTACTGACAAGAAGAACTTTAAAAAAGACTCGCTTTAAGGTAAATTTACAAAGATTAATGATTAATGATAATTAATTATTAAAATTTACATGTAAAATTTACACTCCTGAATATTAATTATTAACGTTAAGTATTGGTCTAAATAAAGTGATTTTTACTACTTAATTCAAGAAATTGGAAAAAATCGATGCCTTGTAGTGAACATGAAGAGATTTTTAATCGATGTCTGACGAAACGAAACATTTACTACTGACGCAGATTATAAACAAACGAGATAGTTTGGTCTGACCAAAACTGTCTTTAACTACTGATAATAAAAATTGGACAAAATCGACCGTTTTTAGTGAACTTACAGACAATTTTTAATCGTTGTCTGACAAAACTGAACATATACTACTGACGCAGATTATATAAAAAAAAAGGAGAAAGCTTGGACTGACCAGAACTGTTTTTTACTACTAATTATAAAAACTGGACAAAATCGAACAAATTACAAAGGTTTCTAATCGCTGTCTGACTAAACTTCACATTTACTACTGACTGAGATTTGTTTTAAAAAACAGAATATTTTGTCTGACTAAAAATATCTTTTACTACTATAATATGGAAATTTCAAGTTTCATATTTCCGAATAAAATAAAAGCTATCCGAATAAAACATTTCTTGTCTGACTATAACTTACTGTGACTACTTATACAATAAAATGAAGATTGGAAATAGTCGTCTGACTATAAAATACTTTTACTACTCACATAAAAATTCTAAAGAAATTGCAACATAAAAATTACGCAAAAAACAATTGTTTTGTCTGACTAAAACTGACTTTTACTACTAGTGACAAAAAATTTTTTTTTAAATCAGTGCGACGGCCTTAAAGTGAATTCACTAAAATTATTTTTACCACTCGTACAAATACAATTGAAATTAAAATTCGTAATGTCTGACGAGACGGTACTTTAACCACTGACACAAATTTTTTTCCGTTCAATTTTGACTACTTACATTTCGTTATTACCACTGACGACTTTCCTAAGTACAATTCACCTACAATTGTATAGTTAAAATATTTTAATTTTTAATATTAGGAAATTTTCTTTTTATGTCAAATTGAAAATTGAAAAGAAAATTAAAATTAAAATTTTTTTTAACTTTTAATTTTAATTTTCTTTTCAATTTAAAAAATTTGTAAACTAAAAATTAATTTTCAAGACATTGGATTCTGTTTAAATTGTAACATAATACTTGAACTAAAACAAAATTGAATATAACTATGAATAATTAACTTTTTCACATCGTTAACGAATATTATAAATAATCTTTTTTTTCGGCACATATCCAAAATACTGTAAATATTTTCCACACTTTTTTTTGCTAAAAAAAAATTTTTTAAAACAAGTCTTGGGATCCGCTAAACACTCTCCCGGACAGATGCCGGCAAAATCTGTTTCGTCCATTTTACTGCGCTATCGTAAAGCTTGTATAAAAAAAAAATATTTCATTATAATTTACGTGTCTCGAATGCAGAGCGGTGTTGACTGAATTACTAAAATAGCAATTAATTAACTGCAAAAAAAAAATAAAAAGAAAAAAGGGCTTGTCGACTAAAGCCCTTTATTTCAAT